ATCTTTGATTACTCGGCAAAAATTATTGGAACTGGGTTGGGATGTTTTGTCACACCCACCATATAGCCCTCACCTTGCGCCTTCGGATTACCATTTGTTTCGTTCCATGCAAAACTCTTTAAATGGTAAAATTTTTAACAACGCGGATGATGTCGGATCACACCTAATTCAGTTTTTTAATAGCAAAGACCAGACATTTTACGAACGGGGAATTTTTACTCTGCCAGAAGGATGGAAAAAGGTCATCGACAAGAACGGCCAATATCTAATTGAATAAAGTTATATTTTTAAACAAAAATTCCGAATTTGCCTTCTTATTTGAAATCGGTAATGACTTAGTTGCCAACCTAATACATTGTGGTAGCACAATAAGTTTTCAAATTTTTACTTATTCGGAAATTGATTTGAAATATGTCAAACCAATCCAATGAATCTATTAAAAATCGCTAACCCCCACCCCTCTCTCTCTTAGTTAATAGAAGCGAGTGTAGAAATATTCGTCAGCTTAAAGCTCTTTCATAAACTCATAATCGGCTGGGTTTGGGTTATGTTATTTTAGCAAATAGGAAAACATGAGAGAGAGGAAGACCTGATGAAAGGTATCTAGAATGAAAGTTAAAATTCAGAATTCTAGCGGCTGAATGATTTGTTTTTGTAATGTCTGAAATTTACTCTTCATTGTGTAATTCTAGACCTCTCGGGTTTGCAGCAAGTACTACACAAATAAGCCTTGATTGCACCCTAAAAACTCTTCTAATGCATCGAGGTAGCAGTAGATATGGGTGAATAGATTTTTTTATAACTATATCACTGTCATCTGGCGCAAATTTGAATGAATATTAATCTTTGGTTAGCTGAGAAAGCCCCAGCATCCTCGCTCAATTGTACAGTGAACTCCGTAGCATGAGTCATAGTAATTGTCTGGTATCGAATTATCGCATAATTTATCATAGAGCCAAATCGCATGTGAACTACAAAAATCCAATTATGATTGGTAAAGCGTTTGATAGTAATAACATTATGTATTAAAGTGTCATAAGACAGGTTCAGTGGTTATGGGGGGGGGGGGATAAAAGACCGCCAGATGTTTATTAAAAATTATAATTTAAATTATTGACATTATTCTACTGTTTGTAATATTTCTTAGTAAGAAATAATCCACGTTTGGGACCTAGAGTTCATTTCACCCTTATTATGAAGGATATCTCTCCCAACTTTTATCTATAAATATGCTCATATATGGTGACTTACTTAATTTCACCGGATTTTGGCAAGTTTTCGTCAATATCTGAGGTCGAAATACCCAAATCGGAAGAACTTTCACTTGTCACCTGTGGAAAAATAATCACATTAAGCACCGTCAGTTGACAATTTAATTAGAACTAGAATAATCAATAATGATACATATATACCGAGTATCTTCGGCCTGCTCTCTTTCTTCGATGCCAACGTTTCAAAATGTGGGTAGACGTTCTTTCACCTTTAACGCCTTCACCATCATTGTTGGTCTTGTTTGTTTTACTAAAGCAATGGACAATATTGATTTTCGTGTTTTCGTATTAATTGCTGTTGATTTTTAAATTTGCCTTTTAAGAGTGCATAAATGGGTGCATTTACATCCGATGTGTTATTTTATTCAACTTAGAAGTTAAATAAACGGCTAAAAATTGGCGTATTTTAACCATCAGTGATAAAATAATTAGTTAAAGGTTGGGTAGAAATTTTATTTTAAATTCTAATCCCGGTGAATTTGTTTAAGGCAGTAACCTAATTGTCTAATAAATTGGTTGAGATTTCTCATATACAGCTAATTATATTCTTAGTTAAAGAGTATATTAACTCAAGCAAGGTGAAATTATAAATTTTGCATACATTTTTGCCCTGCTTATTCCAGGGGCGCAGTCTGGCAATTCATCAACATCTGAGAGATTCGAAAAAGCCCGCTTAAAGACAAAGGAAACACGTCACTAAGTAATTTAAAGTACATTAATTAATGGATTGCTAAAATTTCTTACAGATCTGCTATTTTTTGGTCTGGATACTTTGAGAAGACCGCTAGTTGGCGGCGCACAGTAATTTGAAGGAGTTCGACGAATTTCAACTTCGGAGTCGTTTTCAGATAATTCGCTAAAGTGGAGGATGCAAATGTAAGGTGGAATAACAGAAGGTGCCCAAATTTTATCAATTAATTACTTACGCAATTTCACTCGAATCTAAACTGTCTTGTGAGCTTCCGTCATCACTATCGGTGTAATAGAAGTCTGAGATTTCTGATGATTTTCTACGTCGCGTTGGATACTAGACAGAAGAATTCGAGCAAATTAACCTCTAATCTTTTACCTTTAATGGTATCTTCTTCAGATATACTTGAGGAATGAAAATTCATTGCGACAATTTCAGAAAATTGTATAAGCCACTGCCAATATTCAAATTCTCAAATTCCGGGAAAAGTATGAGCAAATCTGGTATTCGGATTAATATGGAGTAATTGCATTAGGTGAGTATTGAGGCGCAAATAAACAACTTTCGTGTCTGCTACGTCATAAATCGCGGGATTGATGCTTGTTGGAGCACATTCAGAGGTGGCGGAATGTAATTTTCTCAAAAAGATATGGTCTCAAGGTGCCTTTACTCAACCTAACTTAAGTATTTTCTTAAGTGTATGGGAGAGTATGGTGATGACATGTATAATATACTTGTTAAAAAGAGGGGGAGAGAGAGAAAGGAAACTTTTCTTTTGAATTTTGCGAGATTTTTTAATGCACCAATTTTGCGCCAAGACGACCTACAAGTATTGAAGTTTAAGACAACTTTGCTTGAGTTAAGTTCGTAGTCACTCATTCTTTTTGGTGAAAGAAGAAGACGCGCTCATGGAAATGCCGATGATTGCTGAGTCTAGGGTGATTGGTTTTTTTAATGGTCGACTCTATTAGGCTTAAGTAGCCACTAGCGATTAAAGATCTTTCTAACAACTTAAAGTAAATAAGCGTCTTTTGCGAACTCCACTCTTAACATCTAAGAAAGGACTCGTATGTACTGGAGAATAACACCACCTAATGATATAGCTCGTAACCCAGCTTCGGAGTTTTAAAGAGGCACGTTTTCATAAATAGTGCTATTGAAACTTCCTACGTTCATAAAAGGCAATGTTAAAACTAATGAGACTAGATATTGGGAAGATATGGGATGTGGGATAGACTTACCTCCACGTGAAGCACCCTGGATTACGTATACTCATACGGCAAAAAACAGCTGTTAACCGGCAGTTGACTTTTGATCTCAAACTACCATCACCCCACTGTATGTAATATTCAGCCACCTTCACAGTACTCATCTTACCTTTTCTCTGCCTTTGTGTCTGTCTGTCTCTTTTACATCTGTGAATCACTCTTCTGTCCCCCCCTCCCCACCCTCTCGACTTTTTCTTACTCTGATGTTCCTCCGCCCCTCTGTGAAGCCCGAAGTCAGCTAAAGGGCTAATGATAACTATCAAAACACCCGCCATTTGAAATAAATAAATATTTGGAAGATATCCCACTCAGATTGCCATCGATTGCGTGACCTCTACGCTACTAGTCTAATTACAATATCCAATGTTATTACTGTCTTATAATCAACACGTTCTTGAAAGATTCAAACCTAATCGATGAAGTAGTCTCATGAACCAACTGCTTTTATCAGCTAGGAACCCACATCGGACTCAAAGGTAATTCAGTTTTCCTGGAAGCTATGGAGCTTAATCCGTGAGTTGATGCTAAAGTGTGGAGGTGCCTTGGAGAGGCTCCTCGAATCTAATCCCACTAATCATCTTCGTTTTTTAAATTTTGGAGGTGGCATCTGACGCCCAGAATTCACAGACATTCATCTACTGAAAATGCAATTCATTAAGAAAATAACTCACTAGGTTTGCTGATACCTTTCCGCCAGATTGACCCGACTTATAAT